CTCTGGGAGCTGTTCCCTTCTCCTGCCTCTTTCTCCCAACTCCCAAGGCCTGCTCTGAAGCTTGAGGGGTTCCAGTTTGAACTCAGAAGGGCAGGATGGGTGAGGGTGAGCAGGCCCCGACACTAAAAGGTATTTTGCACTCACAACTTCAGTAGTCTACCAGCTGTCTTCTGCAGGTGCAGGTGTGGTCGCTTGCCTTGGCTGTATGACAAAGTAACCAGAGATTAGGGTTGGGAGTATGGGCCAGTGGCTAACCGAGGACTGGGGTTAAATACCTGACTCCATAGAGAATGACAAAGTGAATCCCCACACACACACAGTGATGTCAGTGGGGTCTGAACAGGAAAGCCAGGCCAAGGCCAGACCCTCTAACATCACCTCAGCAACCTCATTATCCAGAGGCCCAGGCAGGACTGGACAATGCTGAGCCCTTTAGTTGTCACTCCTGATGGCCTCCTCTGTCCCCGTCAGTGACCCAGCCCCTTCACCTAGTCACTCTGGTAGCTTCTTATGTTAACCTCAATGCAGTGCTATCATTCCTGATGAAGCAAACACTGCTGATGGAATTAGCTGGTGGATCTCAAAGTGTGGACTCCGGACCAGAAGCCTCAGCATCACCTGTGAGCTTGGTAGACCTACCTGCCCCAGATCTGACACACACTCAAGTTTGAGATCTGTGATTCAGGAACAACCATCTCCAGCTGGGGCCTCATTCTGTGTGCAAACCTTTTTCACCCTGTATTAACAATCAGCCCTCTCTTCCTCATTCTTAACAGTTAACTCCGATTCCTTCAACGGCATAAAAACCAACAGCTGTGGAGTCTACGCAAGAACAAAAATCATTTCATGTATAGTCAGTCCATCAACTTCTACCTCCTCATCTACCACAAACACTCCCTGATCTTCCCTCTTGCTTTGCTCCACCCTCTTGCCTCCTTTCTAAGTCAGTCATATAGCTTTTGATCTCATCAAACTCTTCCAAAATTCTGCTTCATTCATTTATCCCTTGGCTCTTGAACTTTAATTCTTCCTCCTGGTTCTTTCTCCTTTGCCTCCAAAAGCACTCTGGTGTTTCCAATTATAGAGAAAACCCCCAAACAACCTTTATACCTTTTGCAAACTGCTTATAATAATCTACTCTAATCTCCCTCCCCTGTACAGGTGAGAAACTGTGACACAGAGAAGTAAGTGGCTTGACCAAAGTCCCTGACTAGCTTATGGCAGTATCAGGATTAGAAACCAAGTTTACTGAATTTCTATACAGTGCTCATTAATACTCCTTGCCTGCTCCCTCCCTTCCTGCTCACACTCCCTCTCACTGTCTAGTTCAACCCCCTCAGCCCTTTTGACACTGCATCCCTTAATGTCACTAGATGCCACATCCTTTTCGGCTTCTCCTGTATGTCTTCAGGATCTCGCACCTCCGTCCTACTCTCCTCTGTGAAGTTCCCCATCACAACCTAGCTCCAGTCTCTATTATTTCTTCCTCATCTTTTCTGGTTCTTCTTCCTTAGACTCCTATGGCCTTACCTCCACCCACTTCTTCTCTTCTCGAGTGTCTATTCTTTCTCATAAACATATCCAACTAGCATTACAATGGCCACTCTTAGATATCACGATTAGATGGCTCTGATCTCTAGGCTCCAACTTCTTCAAACTTTAGGTCGGCAGTTTCAGCAGCTAATACACTCCTCCTAGATGCCTCAGAAGTACCTCAGCTTCCACAGTCCCAATGCGAACTCTCATCCATCTTCCCCTGTTGTCTCTGCCACCTAGTTTATCATCCTGACTTTCATCCCCACAGCCAGTTTCTAAGATCTCATTGACTTTACCTTTCCAGCCAGTTACCCTAACTCTGTCGGTTAAAAATTGGACACGCCTCTGACTCAAAAGCAATGGATTCACACTGGAATCATCTTCAAAGCCATGTGTTCTCATTCTGTGCAAAGATCCTTTGCCAGGTGGAAGAGTTAGACCTCTACTGCTCTAGACTAGACCTAGAGTCTAGGAGAAGAGCTTGACCTAGCATGTGCTCAACATTTGCTGAAGAGTGAAAGCTTCACAAGGAATGACTCAGCCTTCCTCCCTCCCTCCTCAGGCAGCAAGCAAAGTACCTCAGATGAATTCATGTCCCTCCCCTGCTTTATGAATGCCAGATTCCTATTTCTGGGTCATTCATTCTAACTGACTCTGGGAAGAGCTTATACAAGAGGGCTTCAAAAGTTCATGTGAAAATGAAGGCCGGCGAAGACACAGGGAAGTATGAAATGGTTAAAGGGGGTTGAGGTAAATACGGTTATAGACACAACCCTGGAACAACAGTGTTCTTCACGTAGATATGTGGACAGATGTACAGGCTGAACGGGAATAGGAAGGAGAGTGGCAGTATACCCACAAATAGTTAAGGGTCTGACACGATATCTGTACCTTTGCTGCAAACACACCTAAGAATGTGGTGGAGCATACAGAGGGAAAAATGATGGAAACTTCTTAGATACTACAAGCATTGTAAGGCAATGAGTTGCTGGGTTTGGGTCCAGGACCATAGTCTCTGTAGGTACCATGATTCATTGGCATAACACAGACCACAAAGACAATGTTCTGCAACCTATTTTTGTTGAGTAGCAACTGGGATCTTAAAAGTTCAGGAGAAGCCATTTAAGGTGTAACTATTGGTTCCTCCACGTGTGGAAGAAAGACGAGTGATAAAAATGTGAAGATGCTTGGAATCAACTAGCCCAATGGACAAATGGGATATATGAACATTGATCATCATGACTGTGAGACCAGAAGAACTAGATAGTGCCTGGCTACCATCGTTAACTGCTCTGAAAGGGATCCCTGGATAGAAGGGAAAAAAGTGTGCAGCAAATCTCAAAATTATATATATATATTTACTGGTCAGAAAGAGACTGGAGAAACCTGAGACTATGGCCTTTGACCACCCTTCAGGTCTGGAATGGAACTCATCCTTGTGGCCCAATTTTCAGCCAAGCAGTAGATACGTATATACAAAGGACAATAACACTAGTCCATACAAGATTAAAAGGGCAAAGGACAAAGTTGAAAAGGGATGGGAAGGAGGGTGGAATGGAAATAGGAACCAGAGGGAGAAAGTGGAATAACCATTACTACATGGAGGGGATGGTAATCACTGAGATGAAACAAAGTGTATATTTGTTGAATGTAAAACTGATGATCTTCTCTGTAAACCTTCACTCAATTCACAATAAAAAGTTGGAAGAAAAAAAAAAGTGAATGGGATTTTTCTAAGAACTTTTTGAAGTCCGAGCTCTGGTAGCGTACCGGTTACGAATCAGGCTGTGAACCTTAAGGTTAGCAATTCGAAACTACCAGCTGTTCCACAGGAGAAAGATGACGCTTTCTGCTCCCGTAAAGATTTACAGCCTCGGAAACCCTGTACAGGGTCACTGAGTCAGAAATGACTCCATGGCACGTAATCACCACCATTGTATGTTTAGTCTTCTGAGGCAACTTCCATCTTATTCAGTGACAGCAATTAATGGATGTTTGAATCAGAGAGGAAGAGAGGTAAGGTTGGATCACAGTTGGAAGTCACAGGTGGTGGTCAGCAGAGGATGAGGGTCAGGAGGCCACATAAGACAGTTCAGAAGAGATCCTACTCCCTAAAAGGACACACCTGTGGTAAAACCATCCTCCTCTCCAGCTCCTCTTGCTTCAAGAGTAGCCAACCCTTCCCCACTTTGATTTTCCTCTTTTTTCAATTCCTAAACACCAGTCATTTTAGCCAACATCCTTCTACTATAAAGGCTGAACACTAGGATTGGCCACAGGAAGTAGAATGAGAAGTAGGGAACCTTCCTTGGAACTGAAAATACTCAGTTCTAACCTGCTCTTCCAAAATCAGAAGCTCCTACTCCCACCTCCCCAAGGTCAGGAGAGTGGTGGTGTTCTAGTCCCAGTTCCATCATTGACCACTATGAGATTTAGTGTAAGACAGCAGACCTTTTTAGTGTTCTGGTTTCTTCATCTGAAAAAAGAAAAATGTAATACTTGCCCTGTTTACCCTACAGAATTGATGTGAAAAGAATAAAGTAGCTATGTAAAAACCATTCACCATCACCCAAGCATTCCCATTACATTTGATCCTGACAACAACCTGATGAGATAGGCAGAGAAAACACTCATTGATAGAACAGAAAACTAAGGCTCCCTCCAGATGAAGGACTTATCCAGGCTGCATGACTCATGTGACGGCGCTGTGGCCTAACCTAGCCATCTGTGCATGGCACTGAGCAGAGCCTGGAATGGGGAGAAAAGCTCAGATGACATAGCATGCTGCTATTATTAATAAAACAATTCCTTTTCCAGCATCACTACGGCTCAGGTTATGGCATATGGCAAACGCCAGTGGATTACCACTGGCTACTTTGAGCAACCTCAGAATCTCCGATCTGTTATTTCTTAAGTGGGTCAATTTGACCCCAGAACTAGGTGTGGACTCACTCCTTCTGACTAAAACAGGAAGGATAATTATAGCCAAGGAAGGAGATGCACCTATGGATGTTTCTGATGGCCCCATTGACAGATGGTAGTAATCACACTTTAAGCTGGGTTCAGAAGGCTATAAAATTTGAGGAGAGTTCCAAATTCTACTATTCCATCATTTTGTAGGTGAGAAAATTTAAGCCCATAGAGATTACATGACGTGCCCAAGCTCATATAGCTCGAAAGAAAGTGAGCAGGTCCCCAAATCCAGGTTTCCTACTTCTTGGTCCAGTGCTACTTCTGTGTTACCTGTTTGCAAGCTCCTCCCTGCATTTGTGAATACACAGAATATGAACCATGGAGGGACAAGCAGAGTGGGCGCTTTTCCTCAGGAAATGCCCCCGAGTGAGGAACGGTCCCTGTAGAGCTCAAATGCCAAGTTCAGGACACAGTTTTGTCCCCATGAATCAGGACAGCCCCAGAAGAGTGTGAGTTTGGCCTTGAGTTGAGGAGGAGAAGATATTACTCACGATTTGTCTCGTCTGCCAAGCCGTCTTGTGGGGCTTGCCTGTCTCCTTCGGGGAGACAGGGATTTTCCCCTGCTTCTCACCTGGGTAGGAGACTGGGCACTTGCAGGTTTCAGGATCTGAAAGTGATAAGACGCATTACTATACTAGTTCCTAAAGGACCCCCACCCTCATGATTTCTTATAGCACAGCCCCTGGCCCATCAAGATCCCCTTGTTTTGAAGGCACAGAGCAAGAGGTCTCCCAGAAGAGGAGGTCTGACACAGAGATGCTCTCTTATTCATCAATGGCAATAAGCAAGCAAGGATACTACTTCCAAAGGACAATCTGACTGATCACATATACCCCCACCTTTCCCAGGGCAGTGAGGGCTAGAGCCCAATGCATCCAGCTCCTGGGGCTGTATCTGGATGCTTGGCAAAGTTCTCCTTCTAAAGGCAGCGTTCCATCTACAATACTACAGAAACCAATTTGCTCTTCCTCCAACTCTCCCATCCATGCACAATGTAATTTATCAAAACTGTCCACTGGAGTTCCCATAGAGGGATAATGACAAATCCTCAGGTGCTAAACATAGCGAAGCCTGAAGTCCACATAATCCCTTTCTCCTTAGTGTATGCACAAGCCTTCTCCTAATGACTCCACAGCCCTGGAGGGACAAGGACAGGGGGCATCATGTCACTGTGGAATGGACACTGGTGGAAGAGAAGAGCTGATGATCTAGACTTTCTAAGGCCAGCATAGGGAATGCTTCCTTTCTTGTTACTGAGATATCAGATCAGAGATTTACAAAAAAGGGCTTTATAACTCACAAAACAAAGCAGTTATATCATGTGACTGTATACCCAATAAAGTAAGGTTATCAGTTCATCCTAGTACCTAAGACTCTCCCAGTTTTAGTACTAAAAAGTGTCCTGGGAAATCCCTGTTTTATGGAAAAACTAGGGTGGCTGGTCACCCTATTATAGAGTCAAAACAATAAAACTAGAGCTCTATTATGAACTGAAGCTAAGAAACTGAAGCTAAGATTTTAGATCTGGTCTCAAAAAAACAATTGCAGGCCAAGACTTTGCTTCAACTGTAATATCTAAAATGGTTTTAACTCTTACTTTTTTAACACAGCCAGGACTGTGAGGCTGGTGTATCACCAGGTAGTGTTTTGTTGTGTTACAAAGATAGGGTCACTATGAGTTGGAACCAACATGATGGCCCCTAATAATGTTACAGAAAATACTTTACTTGTTCTTTTGTTGTTAGGTGCCATTGAGTCCATTCTGATTCATAGGGACCCTCTACTGGGTTTCCAAGGAGCAGCTGGTTAGTTTGAACTGCTGACCTTGTGGTTCAAACTGATCTTGTGGTCCAGTGTTTTATCTCACATAGCCACACCTGACTCCATATCAAACTGTAAACAACTTACTTTTTTAGGGTGGTCGGTGAACAAGATAATGTCAAGAAGCTCTGACCACCCCAGACATATGGGACATGTGGCAAGAGGGCAAGTTCGGGAGGGGAGACAGAGAGAGAGAGAGACTGAGAAAGAATGGGGAAAGAGCTCTCTTGCATCATTCATTTGTCTTCCTTGCTGTGGAGTGGATTCTGACACATAAAGACCCCACAGGACAGAAGAGAACTTCCCCACAAGGTTTTCTTGGTTGTAATCTTTCTGGGAACAGACTGCCAAGTGGATTTGAATTGCCAACCTTTGTGTTAGCAGCCAAGTGCTTAACCATTGCTCTACCAGGATGCTTCCTTGCACCTACCTTCATTCTCATATCCCTGGCGTATTTCTCCAGTTCCTTCCTTATGTCAGCCCTCAACATCTTGGAAACATTGAGGACCAGCTGCTTCCACTCAATGGGCTGGAAACTGTGAGGCTCATGGGGGACGTACAGCCCAATCTTGACCTTCTTGACTGTGTGCAGGTATTTCTTGTAGGAGTCTTCAAAGTCAAAGATGAGGTCACTCAGAGTCCGAAAGGTCAATGGCTTGTCCATCAGCTCAGCCCTTCGGCTCATGCCCAGGGAGCCATAGCGGCCATTGCAGTAAATCCCCAGCACAACATGGTGAAAGTAATTTCCTGAGAAGTAGGTTTTAAAGCTGATGGGGAATCGCTCAATGGAAGGCTGCCCATTGGTTAAGTATCTTAGACCATCTGAGTCAAGGAAGAGGAGACATCCTAGAGAATTCACACAGCTTTTGGCTGCCCACAAAAGGAAAGTGGCCCATTGGGGTCAGTGAGTCGATCCCCGCCACTTCCAAGACTCACATCTTGCCTTTCCAGACTAACTCTTTTACAAGATTCACTTGATATATAGTGCATATCAAAAACAGCTTAATATGTGACAAAGGGAAAACTCATCATTCCTCTTGTTCTTGTTTGTTTAGTGCCTTTGAGTCAGTTCCGACTGACAGCGATCTTGTAGAGGGTTTCCAAGGAACAGCTAGTGAATTTGAACTGCCAACCTTGCAGTTCAAACTGACTTTGCAGTCCAGGGCTTAAGCTATAGCCCCACACCAGGATGCTTGTCAGTCTCTCTAGTAATTAAAAAATGCAAAGCAAAATAGTGACAAGGAACTCTTTCCTCCTTCAGGGGCAGAGCTACAGTGAAACCTGTGAGAGCCAACTTGATAGAATTGACTTCTTGTTTCAAGCCTCCCAAGTATGCACTTTTGGCAGGGTGCAACCTTCCCACTTTACTATCCACTCTCTATTAGTGGAAAATATTTGAGCTTTCCTTCTCTGACAGGTTCTACCTTGCACAGGTTTGGTTTTCCTTTTTACACAATTAGAACAATGTGGTAAGACCATGTTTTAAACATTAAGTGGGAGGGGGGCAGACCAGGAATTGGCGGTCACTGTAATGATCCATGTAAGAATGAAAACTAGAATCAAGGCAGTGGCAATGGAGAGACAAAAGAAGAAATGGAGTTGCTGGTTATCTTGATGCTAATGGCAAATGATGGAGTCCTGGTATGGCGCTATGGGTTAATGCGCCAGACTGCAAAGTCGTTTGAACTGCAAGGTCGGTGGTTCAAGCTCACCAGCTGCTCCTCAGAAACCCTATTCAGGGTCACTATGGGTTGGAACTGACTCGACAGCACTTAACAACAGCAACAACAAATGGCAAATGACAGAAAGGCATCAGAACAGTTCAGATCTGCATATGGTCTGCTCCTTTAGTTGGCCCTGGCAAAGCCATGCCAGCAACCTTAGGCACGAGATAGAAAGCTGCCTCCAGCATCCAAACATCCCCATCCTACTGACATCACACACTTTGGCTCTCTCCACTTATTGGCCCATTTGGACACAGTAACCCAGGCTCTTCCTGTTACTTTAGTTTTGGTTCAACAATTGAGCAGGGCACAGCTTCAGGGAACTGCTCCACTGATTCCAGGCATTATGAACAAGCATCAAACCTCGAGCTCATCTACAAGTCCCCGGACAGCCTGGCAAGGCCAACATTTTATTAGCGATCCATGTTTCAGAACAGAACTAGGGCTTCTTGACTGTACTCTTTGTGGAAGTAAATCACTAGGCTTGTCTCCTAAGGTGCCAAAGAATGCGTTTGAACCACCAAACTTTCAGTTAGCTTTTGTTGTTAGGTGCCAGTGAGTCGGTTCCAACTCATAACAACCCATTATAGTGTTTCCAAGGAATGGCTAGTGTGTTTGAACTGTCGACTTTGTGGTTAGCAGTCCAGTGCTTATCCTACAGCACCACACCAGGACTCCTAAAGTTAATGTGG